ATTATAATAATAATAGAAATCTTAGCTGTAACTAGTTCACGCTACTCATCCCAAGCTCTAAAATAAATGTTTTTATTTTGTCTGCACAGTAATGTGCTTCAACAGAGAAGATTGACGCGGTTGTATAGTAAACTGTCTGCAAAATGTTGTCAAGCTGTGTTTTAAAACACGAACTGTGTTTCTGTTTGTGCACCAAGCAAATCACTGGAAGTGCAACTTCAGTTTGTTATCACTCCAACTGCTTTTACTTTCTGTGGCACTGATACTCTGGCTATTTTTCTCAAGGTCTTAGTAGAGGAAAATAGTGATTAAAACCTCTGGTTAATGAAAAACAGTATATTCTCTGCAGTGCGTTCGGTCATTCACTTCTCACTATGTGTCTCGGTTTGCACTCGAGAAGTCTTAAGAAAATCCAAAGCAGCAAATCACTTCCATGCATCATCTCCTGCCAGCGGTACTGCGTACTATTCAGCAGCTGTCAGGTTGGGCAGTTCAGCTGTGGGGTGGATATGGAATGCTCTGCCTTGATGCCAAATGCTAGCTCTGTTTTTTCTGGTTGGCAGATATTTGTTGCCTTAAAACAAAGCACCAAGAGGAAAAACAGGTTTTTTTCTCTGGTGCTTCTACTTGCCAAGAATCTTTATTCTCACTGTGAACTGGGAAAACTTATTATGCCTTACATAAGGAGGAGATGAGGGAAGAGTGGAGAGTGAAAGATTTTCAGTTGAAGCCAGATAGACACTTGGTGATCGCGGCGGGGGTTTGACCTGAGTCTCACATCGCTGGCTTTGGGCACTCGGGGTAAATACACTGTCCTTAGTGGAATTACACTTGGATACAATCAGTAGGATCCTGTGACGTGGACTAACTTCAGACCCTCTGGTTCTGTTCAAATCTGTTTGTGGGGGTGGGGAAGAGAAAAATCAGGACAAGTTTTCTGTTTGTTTTCAAATTTCAGCAGCATTTTAACTGAGAATTCCCTAGAATAGAGGCTGACGCGTGGAGAATCTGTGTTTGTCTTTGCAGCAGTTGGTGTCTCCCACTGCTTGGAGATGGAGAGCAAATCCCGAGGGTGCAGGCCGGCCTGGGTGCTTCGGGGGGCTGTGCTGGGAAAGTCACTGTGCGGGTGCAGCAGCTGCTGTGGGCCAGCATCACGGATAACAGTATTTGCTAATGCCTGGTTTCCAAGATACGCCTTGTGCTGTGTTGCTGAGGTACCATCAAGCAGTGTGTGGTCATTATAGCTTATCCGTAGGTCTGCTGGGACTGTGTCAGGTCACAGCTCTTCTGTGGTTCAAACATGCAGGTGAAGGCAGATCTGGAGGGGTCCTGAGCTGGATGCTGGTGTTGGCTGCTGTAACAACTACTACTAGTGATTTGAGAATGATTCTGACATGAATATTTTGTCTGATGTACTGAAAATCCACCTGTTGGTGAGAATCCCATCAGAGTGCATACTAACTTGACCTTCAGCACCTGAATCCATGGCCTTATATTCTTACCCAGCTGCTGTCAAACCAAAACTGCAGCACGACTCCCAAACACCCAGAAGCCAAAATGTAACTAAAGTAGGTTATCAGTCAAAATATTCCACGTAGAGTCATATTTTTTCAATGCAGGGTGGAATATCTTCTGTCTGAGAGCTCTTCAATACTTCCTGTTTGTAGGAGTGAAAATACGAAGGGTTGTTCTGGTTGGCACATCAAGGCAATACAGCTGTAATGTGCGAGTGTGTTTCTTTTCTCAAGCAGAATCAGCAAAACTCTTGGCTAAGTTGCAATAATCAGATCTTCGTTACTGATCCCGCTTTCAGGAGACAAAGTGGATGTGGCTTGACCTTTTTCCTGACTCAGGCTGAATTTGCAGTGGTAACACATAAACCCTCTTCTCACTTATAAGATGAATAGAAAATTTGATAGGGAGAAAAGATTGAGGAAGAATAAACACGGAAACAAAAGGTGCTATTTTTATAAAATAATTCTTCAGTGTTTAAATATATCAGGGTTTGGGGACATTATTATAATTAAAGCAAATAAGCAAACATAAAAGGCAAAAAACTACTTGGCTTTCCAGTGCATACTGAGCTGACAGTGGAAAAGGTCCTCAGCCCACGAATCCAGCAGGGAATATAAATGATTGATGGTAAAAGCTTAGATCATCCACTTTAAGTGTGATTGGCAGATAGTGTTCCTGGCAAATGTCTGGAATTCAGCAAGCTGGGAATGAGAAATGCAAAGTACTGACAAACAAATGGCCGTCTGCATTTCTCTAGCGTTTTAATCTTTCTTCAGAGGTAAGGAGAAATACATAAAGCCTGGAGTTATATGTAAAAAGAGGCTTTCAACTCGGGTTCCCTAATGCAGCCATTAGACTTGCCAACCACCTGCTGAGACCCTCAGAAGTCTCACCTTACTCTTCTTGCTTTCCAGTTACAGATGTTTGTAAAAATAAAACCAACCCACCCAATTTTTTTCCCCTTCCTTTTTCATGAGTGATTGATCTTACTTTATGGAGAACATACAAATGAAGGGAGATGGTCTGCAGTTCCTTATGTATAAGGGGAGGATTGTTCTAATCCAGTGCAGATACTCCTGGTGGAATTTTAATTCCTGCTTACTATAAAGACTTCCTACTCCTCCTTTTCTTTTTTTTTTTTTCTTTTTTCCCCCTCCCTATTTTTCTCTGAATGTCACACACAAGTGTTTTTTGGATCTGGCAATGTGGATTGATACTTTTGGTATGCATTATTTAGAAAATGCACTTGACAGAAAGAGGGCACCGTGATGCTTGCACGTGTGCCTTGCTTTGGAAATCGAACTGTAACGTAGGATTGATTTTTGACTAGATCACTGGCTGTTAACTTGATTAACTTCAAGGAAATTGGTAATGATAGAAAACAGTACAACTTCTTGTTTTAGCCTGGTTTGTTTTTTTAAAATTGAGGCTTCAGTGCTCTGACTCAGTTTGTGTTTCACATGTAGCTTTTGTCTGGTTTGGCTCAATGGACACCTAACAAATGCAGCTCCTCCATGCGCTGCTCTTGCCGCCCATGGGAAGCGGCTCCCCGAGGTGGCAGGAAAATGCAGATTTGGGGCCGGTATTTTGAGAGTTACACATAGCAAGGGGAAACTGGGGTCGCCGCCACAGTTGAAGAGCACAGTTGTGTCTTTCTGTGTTACGTGAAAAGCAGAATTGTATTTTAAAAAGAGCTAAGATGTAACTAGCTTCTGCTGTATGTCACTTCATATGTAGGCAAAGCAGCACCATGCTGTTTGTACTTGCGTTGTACTGATTATTCTTCATGCTACTGTGGGGCAGTAAAATACTTATTGTCATGTTAAGGTAGGGAAACTTGTCTGGAGATGTTAAGAAATACGCTTAGAAACGAGCTCGAACTCCTCTCTCTTATGCTTGGACTACCAGCTCTAACTGTTGCTCGTCAGTCATGGCACATTTCAATACTTGATAGATTCCAGAGCGTTAATTAAAACAGTTGTTTAGCTAATTGCCTGGAAGATTGTGAGTAAAAGCATATTTATTCCAAAGGCAAACAATCCATTTTTACCCAGTGAAGCATATCAGTTTTTATGGTGCATAAAAATTGTTTCACTTCAATTTTGAATATATTGTGTGTTTGTCTGTCTAAAAGCCTTGTAGATGATGATGATCTGTTTTAAGTGAATGGAAGCTTTTTTTCTTAGGCCATTTTTAATGCACCTACTGAAAAAAGCATATGGTTAAATAATTGAAAATGTGAAAAGTCATTGCCATTAAAATGAAAAGTTGCCTGCTGCACTGGACTGCCTCTGTGCCTACTGATATGCAGTCTTTGGAGTACTTTTGGATGTCGGCACTCTCCTGTGTAAAGATACTGGAGGTGTAAGAAAGGGTATCATTATGGTGCCTTTGCCTGTCCTTGTGGGGAAAAAATGTGCTTATGGAACAGGTGGTTTCAGTGTATATACACATTTAAATGGAAGCATAGCCTGTCCTCCTCCAAAGTGTTCAGAGACTAAGCTGATGCATGGCAGGTGGACTGCATAGGGCTTTTGTGGAAGTCTGGGCGCACATCAGTGTGAACCACAGCTTACGGCACCACGGCAAGGCTTACCACCAGGCTGATAGCTTCTCCAAGAGAAAATGCTTGTCCTCTAATGGAAGAGATTGCATAATTGTGGAAGTACAGTTCAAGGGCTGAGGTGGGAGTCCTGAGTTTAATTTAGAAGTTTTCTTACTCATGGTAACTTTCATAAGGACTCCCAGACATGACTATTTATTTAGGGAGTGAAATCTCAAAGGGTCCAGATGAAGGCAATAAACTAATATCTATTTTGATGCTGTGGCTTTAAGAATTCCTATCGACAGCATATTACTTACAAGGCAAGAGACCATCTGGTCCATCCCTACCACAACTTGATAGACCCTGTGAATGTATTTCTTTGGTGTTTGTCTGGGGCAAACTTTCTTTAATGCTGATGTATAGCACTGTCTCGTTACAGCCTGTAACTGCACTGGTGTGTTAGACAAATGATTTTATTGACACAATAGTGGGTAATTGTTAGCCAGATTAAGAAAACTCAAGAACAGAGATGTAAGAAACAAATCCTATGCGTGCCAGTTAAAAGAGGAAAGGAAAAAAGCGTTTCCTCTAATTAATCTCTTTGAAAGGGATTGGAAGAGAACATGAACCAAGAATGAACTGCTCTTCTTGTTTCTTAGAGAAAAAACTTAACTGATCTCTAAAGGGGACTTGTTACATGAAAATTTTTGATTGTGGTTTATTCTTATGAAATTTTGCTGGGCTGTTGTAATTAACAGAAAGATAGTGGAAAAGGTTATCAATGGAATATTTCAAAGATTTTTTTTTTTCTCCAGATGGAATTTTTTTTCTGAGTGCATGAAATAGAAGAACCTTGGCTTCATAAATGAGATATATGTTCTTTTATATTTTTGGTGGAAATAGTATTGTCACTGAAAGCAATGCTGCTGCTTTTCTCTAGGCAAAGGAGATGTTTTTGGTGATGTCTTCTGGAAGGAGTCAACCCTCGCCCAGTCCTGTGCTAATGTAAGGGCTTTGACTTACTGTGATCTTCATGTGATTAAGAGAGATGCCTTGCAGAAAGTGCTGGAGTTCTATACAGCCTTTTCACACTCCTTCTCCAGAAATCTCATTTTGACCTACAACTTGAGAAAAAGGGTAAGTAGGTTTGATTTCAACATAATACCAGGTAAACGATCACTTTTAAGGACTGTCAGTAGTAAAAAATGAGTTGCTTGAATTCTGGCATCCTTTGTAGCCTCTCTTATAAGGAGGTTTTTCAGAGCTTCCCTAAGTGACACTGTTAGCATGTAGAGTCAAAAGGCCGTAAGTATTTATTCCAGTGCTAGTTTTGTTAGGGAGTTGGACTGTGTATATGTAAAAGTATTTTACATTTCTATGAAGTGGGCAGATGCTGGGGCATATTTGTGAACTGTCATGCACTTGTGATAAACAGTGTTCACTACTTTCTGCAGCTGTAGTTTGTAAAGCAGCAAAGATAATGTTAGGTGTGTTGCTTGACGTTACAAGGAAAGTGGAAGGAAAGGTATGAAATTTAATATATGGAACAAAAGTTGCCAACAGTAATCACAATGGAAAAGTAATATGAACATGACTGATTCTATCAAGAGTAGTACCTTTTAGTATCAATCACATTTTGGAATTAATTTACTCATCTGTGTTTCCATTTTCTTATTCTGGATTTTTTTTTTTGGCTTTTTTAATTTCTTCCTGCATGCCAGTTCAAGTTATTTTGTCAAAAGCAAATCATCATAACCTAAAATCCCATTTTAAATTCTCTGTGTAACCTTCAGTGAACCACCTCTGTAGAAATTTCTTAAAACTGCACTAAGTATAATACAGTTTGTATGATATTTATGATGCAACGTAGATAATATTACATAGAAAACAAGTACATTGGAACACGTATACTTGCTTTAAAATACTATGATATGAAGATACTTGAGATAAGCTAAATAAACATGTTTCATAGGAGTGTTTTTGTTCCTAAAAACATTTCTCCATGGTAAATTCCAGGTGCCAAGTAAGTCCTAGATAATTACACCTGAAAAAATAGCAGCCTTTTCATCTTTGAAGTCTGTTTTGCGAAATTAGACTTTAACCCTAGAGTTCAGTTCTGTTTAATATTTTTTTCCTTTTTTTGTACCTATAGTTGGCATACTGAAATTAAAATAGTGTGATGATGTTTTCTATTTGCATATGTTATCAGTATCAAAGATATTAACTTTTCAGTATTGGGCAAAGAAGAATGTGCTATCCACACTTTGGTCAAAAATGTCAAAGCTCTGGTAGAAAATTGATGTAATTAAAAATGAAGAAGAAAATTTATACATGAGGATTTCCTCACAGGACTTTTTTTTCAAATAACATTGAGTTCCTGCAGGACAAGGAGAAGATATGCAACTGTAAGAAAATCGAGAGATGTCCTGTTTTAAAAAATAAGTTTAAAACCCAGTGATTTACCTGGTGTTAATTAATGTAAAAAATAAAAATAAATGAAAGAGTTTAGTATTGAGATCACCTAAAGCATCGGGATCACTGGCTGGCATATGTTAAAATAACACTGTGAGTAATGTGGTAGGATGGTCTTAGAATAGGTAATTACTTTTATTTTTTTAACATCAGTAGAAATAACAACTCTAAGGCATAGAAGGACCAACTCTCTTAAAGTTCACAGTAGCGCTAGCAGAGTCACATCATTCTGAATCTGCTCTGAGCCAAACGCTCTAATTTTAGAATCAAATGCCTAGTCCAGAAGTGACACTCTATCCCTCCATGTTCATCGGTGTAGCTTTTTCCAGCCCAGGTTACAAATCGCTTTTTAACCACAGTATCATAATTCCTGTGCTGTCAACTTTCTACATAAAATGTTCCTAATAAAAAGGTACATTTTGTGATAGCAATTTCCATCCAGTTATTCAAATAATTGGATTTTAATTGAGTTGCAGTCATCAGAAAAGTGATGTTGATTGATAATGGAAGTTATCGTTGGGTGGTTCTAAGGTTAACAGGCTGTAATTTTATTTATTTTATTGAAAGAAGGCTGATTGCAGTCAGAATGCGAATGTTAAATAATGTAAATAATATTGGCTTTTGGAAATGCATAGAAGCTACGATACTTTAGAGATTGGAGATAATGCACATTAAAAGGCAACATTTTAGGGTTTGGAATTTAATCTGGTTTAAATATCTGTGAATCTTTTATAGAAATAGCTCCCCAGCCTGTCGTTTCTAACACGTCTCCTGATCTATTTCTGCAAATGAAATTTTGTAGAATTCAGATGAACCGGTACCTTCTGTGAGTTATGTTTGTGATGCATTGCATACCCTTTGGAATATAAATACCAGAATTACACTTCTAATTTCAATAAATCTCTGGCTCCGAAAGTGTTCAACGGGGTGAATACTGTATATTCATCCCAAATACATTCATGGAGATTGCAAATACATGTAAAAGCAGCTTTGGGGATTTTTTTTTTTTCCCCTGAATGATCTCATGGTTATATTTTTAGACTTGGTTATTCCTCTGAGGTGTCCTCATCTCCAGGGCACATCTGCCTTCACCTGGCCATGGTGCTGAGTCTCACTGCATAGTGCAAGGTGCTTTCTAGCTGAGACTCGCTCACCTTAAATGAGCATTGGTCCGCTCTTTCACCAGGTTCCCATATTCTTTGGCTGCTGGCTGTCTCCAGTGATCCCTTCCCTTGTGGAGAGGGGACTCTCTGTCCCAGACCCTGCAGTGCCAGTGGGCAGTGCTGTCCGTACCAGTATCCCCCACACTTACTGGGGTCTGGATCCGCCTGCTAATGACTGTGACAGAAACGAGCAGGCATGGCGGGTGCGTTGTAAGGTACCAAACCCAATTGGTCTCAACCGTAGCTAATTCTAGAGCTGGAGGTAGGCAAAGTAAGAAGCATCCTCCTTTCTGAAACTGTCAGCTCACGGTCAGGTGGCTCCCCGAGCAGTTTCCTCACACACCTCAAACCCCTCCTGAAATTACTAGCTGTCTAGTTGCCTCTGGCTGGAGCTCAGAGTATTTGTCGTAAAGGGGAAGTGAAAGGAGACCTTTAATTAACTCTTTCTGCTGCCAGTCACTGAAATTCTCATCTAATTGGAAGCAGGGGGAGAAACAGCAGCTGCATGTGTCTCTCCAACGTCTTAAGAAACTGGAACTGCGGTCTGTGGCTGTGTGTCAGACTCGAGGCTTTGCAGCTGAAAGGAAGCTGACAGGGGATTTCTCAGCACGCTTCCTACTGTAACGTTGTGAAATGAAAACAAGTTAACTTGACGTTCTTGTCTGGTTTTGGAACCTCCGAGAGGAACCAGGGTATAGACACCGGGGGCATGGGGGATGTTCACATGACAAACACACCCTTATGGTGGGTGTGGTACATGAGAGGGAATATTGTGGGGTTTGGGGGCAGTAGGATTCTCAGGCTGCATGGAGATCTATTTTTTCCCCTACAAATATGGAAACACCTGGGGTTTTCCAGCCTGGACTTCATAGCTCCACATCAGTATCATAGAATCATAGAATGGTGAGGGTTGGAAGGGACCTTAAAGATCATCTAGTTCCAACCCCCCTGCCATGGGCAGGGACACCTTCCACTAGACCAGCTTGCTCAAAGCCTCATCCAGCCTGGCCTTGAACACTGCCAGGGATGGGGCATCCACAGCTTCTCTGGGCAACCTGTTCCTGTGCCTCACCACCCTCTCTGGGAAGAATTTTTCCTGATATCTAATCTAAACCTCCCTGATTTCAATTTGTACCCATTACCCCTTATCCTATCGCTACAGGCTCTTGTAAAAAGTCGTCTCCCAGCACCCTTGTAGGCCCCCTTCAGATACTGGAAAGAACATACAGTAGAAGCATAAGAAGAGAGAAGCTTGCATGATAACTACTTGTCGTTGTCTTTTGCCTGTGGCGAGGTGCGAGTTTGCTGGCACCTCCTTTAGGAATGTGCAAGGCCTTTGGATGCATTGCAAGTGTTCTGGTTTTGGCAGTTGCTTCTTTTCCTGTGTATGAGCTTTGTGACCGATATTAACTTACACTGGGTTGTACCACAGTGTATTTGCTCAGTTCATTCTGCTGCAGCCATAAATGATGTTACAGCACAAATGATCGCACATGCTACATAAAAGAGAGAGTTCTTATACATTATTTATTAAGCTGAGATTTCTCTAGTAAGCCATTTTAGCCTGGATAGAGATTAAATGACTAATTCTGAATGCATTGGAGTATCATGATAGAAAGCACAAGTAGTTTTTCCAGAAATTGAAATTTGTGTCCTGGAATAAAAAAGGGAATGCAGTAGGACATAGATACGCTATTTAGGATTTTGTAAGACTGAAAGAAATGGCAAAGAACACTCTGCACTTTTACAAAGCAACTATGATTTAGTGATTTAAAGCCAAAGTTGCTACTCAGAAGATACTTCTTGAGAGGGCAGTGATTGCAACAGAATAGTTTGTCTCCCCAGTGGTGTAAGATTGCTTTTGTCCATGTAGTGGTGTGCTTATTCCACGTCATTCCAACTGTGCCCGTGGACAGGGCTCCCACCACCTCTTTCTAAAAGCAATTGTAAAATATAATTGTGCTTTCCTTTTCGACATTACCTTTACCTTTCTTCTTTTTATACTGTAAGCTCTAACTAGAGTGAGAACCTCTCTCAGATCAAACATTTCAGCTAGGAGTGCTTCGAGCCCTGATTTTAAATCTCAGGGGGCTTGGCAGCAGGTTGTTTTCAGAGATGAAATCCATGGCCTTGTATTCTGCCTTTCTACTTGACATGTTTTCCAATTCTTTTTAATGATACAGATTCAAAACAGTATCCCAGAATCTTTTCTGGTATGGAAGGTTGAATTGCTGGAAGATTTTAAGAAAGCTTTCTTAAAATAAATAAAAGGTGAAGGGTTTTAATTTTAGAATATTGGCCCATTTGATGATGGATTTCAGAATAGTCTAATTGACAGCCTGCTTCTTTCTCCTGTGTTTGTACTCACCAAAACAATCCCACAAGTCCCAGAGGAAGAGAGGTTGGATGCTTGACTGGTATGCATCTATCTTACAGCACTGAAAATCCAGGACACTGGACTTGACTGAAACACCTGGATGGGTCTGTGGCTTGCGAGTTTTTATTGGGTTTCCATGGCAAGGTTTTGGTAGCAGAGGGACTACGGGTGTGGCTTCTGTGAGAAGCTGCTAGAAGCTTCCCCTGTGTCCGAAAGAGCCAATGCCAGACGGCTCCTGCTGCTGGCCAAGGCTGAGGTAATTGGTGCCTCTGTGATAACTTACTAAGAAGGGGGAAAAAATCTACACAATTGCAGCCAGAGAGAGGAGTGAGAATACGTCAGAGAGGAGCCTATGTCAGGGCAGGTTTGCTGACAGGACTTGTGACCCCGTGGGGGGTCCCGTGCTTGAGCAGACTGCTCCTGAAGGACTGCACCCCACGGAAGGGACCCATACTGGAGCAGTTCATGAAGAACTGCAGCCCGTGGGAAGGACTCATGTTGGAGAAGTTCATGGAGGACTCTCTTCTGTGGGAGGGACCCCACACTGGAGCAGGGGCCGAGTGTGCAGTGTCCTCCCTCTGAGTGGCAGAGACAGCATATGAGCGACTGACCACAACCTGCATTCCCCAACCCTGCCCCACGAGGGAGGAGGAGATAGAGAGAGGGGAGCAAAGCTCAAATTCAGTCCCAACTCTTCTACCTCCTCTCCATTAACACTGTGGAAGGTTGGGCAATGGGGATTGCAGTCAATTCATAATGCTTGCTCTCTACCGCTCCTTCCTCCTCAACTCTTGCCCTGCTCCAGCGCGGGGTCCCTCTCATGGGAGACAGTCCTTCACAGAGTTCTCCAGGGGCAGCAGTCCTTCATTAACTGCTCCAGCATGGGTCTTTTCCACAAGGTGCAGTCCTTGAGGAGCAGCCTGCTGCAGTGTGGGTCCCCCATGGAGCCACAGGTCCTGCCAGAAAACCTGTTTCTGCGTGGGCTTCCCTCCCCAGGCTGCAGGTGGGTCTCTGCTCCCCAGTGACCCTCCATGGCTGCAGAGCACAGCTGGCTTCACCACGGTCCGCACCGTGGGCTGACAGGGAACCTCTGCTCTGGCACCTGGAGCACCTCCTCCCCCTCCTCCAGTGACCTTGGGGTATGCACAGTTGTTTCTGTCACATATTCTCATTTCTCTTTCTCAGCTGCTGGTGTTCAGTGTATTTTACCCTTTCTTGAATACGTTATCACAGAGGTGCTACTAACATTGCTGATGGGCTAAGCTTTGGTCAGCGATGGGTCCGTCTTGGAGCTGACTAGAATTGGCTCTGTCCAACATGGAGACAGCTTCTGGTGCCTTCTCACAGAAGCCATCCCTGCAGCCCCCCACTACCAAATCCTTGACACGTAAACCCAATACAGAGAGAAAAAATGCTGTTCTGTTGTTTGTATTCAATACGTGATACGTTTTCTTGTAAATTTTAGCTGTAACTTAGATCATGTGGGTAAGCAGTGAAATGCTTCTTTAAAATGCTCTTAAATGACTAATCCCTTCTAAACTGATTTGATGAATTCATCACTTGAGATGCCGCCTTTTACTATGAATAATGAGTAATTTTTCATGCACTTAGATGCTGTAGTATAATGTCTGTACAACTGTTATAAAGAAATAACTTAGTATACCACACAAAACAGGATGTGTATTTCCTCAAAGGAGTATTAAGTTGTTGAAATTCTGATAGGTCATTCACTAGTAAATCCCATTAAAAGTAACCTAGTGATCAAGAGGCGTTAATAACCGTCAACAAAATAAATTGATGGAAGAGCTGGTAAGGTTGAATTTTGAATTACAATTCATCTTAAAATGGAAGAATATGATTCTTTTATGAAGCTGATACTAAAACCGTAACTGCCTTGAAGTATCTTCAGTTAGAGAATATTTCCTGTTCTGTGCTGTTGTAGATTTATAGGTTTTCCCACACTGGTCATTAAATACTTAATGATCATTTGTGTTCTGATCACTGAATTAGAAATTAAATTTGTACCGACTGAATTTATAAAATCAGAATTTTAGATACTTCCAATGTGTTTTCTAAGTATGGGAAATTATGTCGATGTTATGTCAATGAAACACATTCCAAGTATATATCAGTACTTGGAAAAAAGCTGTGGTAAATGGAAAAAATTCCAATCATCCTGAAATTGAGGTTAAACACTTCATGCATTAAACCAGAAACAGGATCAATATTTTGTTTGTTTTAGCACAATTTGAGTAGACCCGCTTGAATTGGTTTTGAAAGGTTTTTTTTTCCTCAATGTCCCATAAAATACGCAGCCCTAAATATAAAAGAAAAAAATTCTGACCTTTTCAAGATCTGTGGTGTTCATAAAGTCTTTCCATATAGGGTAAAGCTATTCCAAGTAGATGAAAAATACAGTTAACAAGGTTGATGGCTAATTAGAATAAAATTTGTTTTCAGACTATTTTAATACTTAAAAAAGGGCGTATTTGGCTTTTGTGAAGCTATTTTCAGATGAGTAATAGAAAGTTAACATAAAAAAGGATTTTCTCTCATTTTTAACATGCACAGCCACCCACACCAGCTTGTTTATCCCAACAGAAGGAAATGCACTACTGTGATTTTTACCCTCCTCCACCCACATAGACTAAAGTGTAGAAATAATTTTAATGTAGATAAAGGTTACTTTGTGTCAATGGCGATTCCCCAGAATAGCTCCCCTAAGCCTTTTGAAAAATAGAAGATGAATTTCCTAGGAACTGGGGAAATTCTAAACGTTGGCCCACCACTGGGGACAGAAGATGGTAATCCAA